TATCTACAGTTAGGCAAGTCGGTCGGCTAACTTGCCTAACTGTAGATATCACAAAACTGGACCCATTGGGTGGCAATCCCCTAGGCATCGGCGTGATACTGTCAGTCACTGCATGCTGTGCGGCATAATGCCTTTGGCCATATACCTGTGTGCCCTATCCGGGACCACACTCGGTCTCTCCTGTAACTGGTAGCATACCTACCCAATGCCATGCCTCTCACAACTTTGTTATAAAAATTTCCGTCAACTAAGGAAGATATTCCAGCAAAAGACATAGTCTAAATATTGAAGTTAGTGCTGTATCGTATGAGGCTAGAGCATCCAATGAACGACAATGGCACATTCGTAGATTTAAAAATGACATTTGATGGATGATGTCGCCATTAATAGGTGAGGAACACACACAGTACGGCTCATGAAAGTAAATGCCGGTGTAAATTTAGAGTCATAACCTATTTTTAAATTATTTTATTGAATATTTATGGATATAGGGCAATGTTTCTAGTTCATTCTCCTGAAATGATCCTTTTTGGTGTATGTACCATGGTTAGCTTATTTTGCGACTTCCGAGTCGCTACACGTGGCGGAATCGTCAATCACTTCCACCGCTACACGTACTTGTGTATCCGTAATGGACACCTGGCAATCGGCACTAGCCGGTAGATTACTGAAATTGTATTCTCCGTTGGAATCAGTCAAGGTTTCCATCTCAAAGTTTGCAGCACATTTAACAACAACACTCTGTCCCACCACTGGCGCTCCGTTTGAATCCTTTACCATTCCACTGAGGCATTGGTCTGAAATCGGAGTTGTTGGTTCAGGGCATTCTGCACCAGTGCCAGTCACATCAAAGTCTAATTCAATATCATCTCCTTCCACCGTTATTTGACATGAACTTCCTTCAGCGATATTGTAGAAGACGTACTCGCCATTCTCATCAGTTACTTTTCTTTCGGTGTAGCCCGAAGGGCAAACAACGATTATACCCTTGTCTGCGATGGGCATGTTGGTCTTCGTGTTTCTCAACAAACCACGAAGACATTCTCCGACTGGTGAGATCGTGGGCGATGTGCTGGGGCTAGGGATATGGTCAGTTTCCACACACTCAGCGTGCGAATCGTCTACATCGACTTTAACATCGAGGTCCGTATTAGCAATTGATACATCGCAAGTGTCCACGTCGGGCACGATATCAAAGTTATACTCTCCGTTCTGATCTGTTTTCACAGTCAACTTGAAACCATTCCCGCATTCGATTACCACATCCACATTCGCTGCGGGTTGTCCAGTTTGAGCATCTCTGACGACGCCACGAACGCAATCGGGCACATCAGCCACGGGCGTAGTTGACGGACTTGCTGTTGCGCTCGGACTAGGTGACAAGGCCACTGGTTCTACATCTGGAAGCTTAGAGAGCGACGGACTTGCAGTCGGTGTGACAGGCGCATTGGTGCTGGCCGACGTAGCGGGGGCCGGTGAGACTGTTGCTGACGGGGATGGCGACGGCGCTAAACATATAACGGTAGTAGTTTCTATTTCCACACCGTCTTCCACTTCAACATCGACCTCCGCGGCCGTTTGTGCAACAGCAACTTGACATACAGATCCAGCGGGCACCATGAAGAGGTACTCACCTTGACTGTCAGTTACAACTTCGTTCTCATAATCAGGAACACATTTGATTGTCACACTCTTGTCGACTACTGGTTCATCGGTTTCACCATCTCTCACAATACCTCGGACACAATCGCCTATAGCCGAAGCCGATGGCGTCATCGTTGGCGAAGGGGAGAGTGCAGCTGGTTCAACAGAAGGCAAAGCAGTCAGTGACGCTGTATGACTGGGAGTGGGCGAAACCGATGTACTGGGAGTGACAGTTGGACTGGCCGATGGTTCTACGCTCATACTTGCCGTCGCACTCGCAGTACTGGACGGTGTCATAGAAATAGACACTGAACCGCTGGGAGAGATAGACGGCGAAATCGAAACCGTACCACTGGGTGTGACCGCAGGCGAACCAGATACTGAAGCACTGGGGGTGGCTGGGGATGACGGTGAGGGCACAGGTAACACGCAGGTAGCTTCCGAATCATCAATGTCGATATCTACATCGATGTCAGCTCCTACTATCGAAACTTGACAAGAAGCGACATTTGGAACATTGTCGAACTCATATTCGCCCTGATCATCGGTTTGAGTACTTCGTTCGAAAGCAGGGTCGCATGAAATCAGGACCTCGACTCCCGAGACTGGTGTTCCATTATCATTGCTTCTAACGATTCCACGAACACAATCGCCTATCGCCGAAGCCGATGGCGAAGCGGAGAGTGCGGCTGGTTCAACAGAAGGCAAAGCAGTCAGTGACGCTGTATGACTGGGAGTGGGCGAAACCGAGGGGGTGGCTGAAGCTGACTGTGAGGGCATTGGTTCTTCGCAAGTTGTTTCTGAGTTATCAAGGCCAATATCTACATCGACATCCGTTTCTAATATCGACACTTGACATTCAGCCACATTTGGCACATTAATAAATTCATACTCTCCCTGGTCGTTAGTTTGCCTCGTCTGCTCAAAGTCAGGGTCACAGGTAATCATGACCTCGACTCCCGGGACTGGTGCGCCATTCTCAGAATTTCTCACAATTCCGTGGACACAATCGCCAGCGACAGTAGATGGAGTCATACTCATCGTCGGGGAAGGCGATGATGACAGCGCCACCGGTTCAAACGAAGCCAATGGAGTCAATGATGCAGTTGGCGAGGGCGAGGGCGAAGGTTCATTGTGTACACAAGTAGCTTCTGAATCATCCACCTCAACATCAACATCAACGGTTGTGTCATCTATTGAAACATGACAGGCAGCCATGTCTGGCAAGCCGATAAATTCATACTCACCCTGGATGTTAGTGATTGTCGTCAGCTCAAACTCAGGGTCGCACATAACAGTGACTGAAACTCCAGAAACTGGCTCACTACTTTCGACATCTCTAACGACTCCGCGAATACAATCATTCGCAGCAGATGCAGAAGGTGTCATACTCATTGTCGCCGAAGGTGACGGTGACAATCCTGCCGGGTCGACGGATGGCAGCGGAGTTAAAGAGGCAGTGTGGCTTGGAGAAGCCGAAGAAGAGGGGGAGCGCGAAGGTTCCGGCTCTGGCTCCTCACACGTTGCAACTGAATTGTCAACTCCAATATAGATAGACTCTTCTGTTTCCGAAACTGAAACCTGGCAAGAAGCGACTTCGGGTACATTGTTGAAAATATACAAACCTTCAGAATCGGTCTCCGCCATAGCTTCGTATCCATCATCGCACTTGATAAACACGATTCTACCACTCATCAATTCACCAGTTTCAGCAGCACGCACAGTTCCAGCGACACACTCGCCAAATACAGAGGCACTTGGAGAAATGCTAGGCGAAGAAGAATAGCTGGGACTTGCAGAAGCGGTTGCG